GGGTTTAGGGTCTAGGGTTTGGGTCTAGAATCCCCAAACCGTGAACCCGAAAGCCTAAAACCCAACCGCTGAACCCGGCAAGCCAAAGGTAGCAATGCAATTGCGAGCTTCTCCGGGCGGTTCGCCGACATAAACCTTAGTCGGGTTTAGGGTTTAGGGTTTAGGGTTTAGGGTTTTAGGGTTTAGGGTTTAGGGTTTAGGGTTTAGGTTAGTCGCTCGAGATCGCACAAAGCAAAGGACTTGTCGATCACGGCATCGGGGTCGAAATAGGCAACGTGGGGTTCCCTTAGGCTTTAGGGTTTGAGATTGGCATAACTATCGTATGCTGCTCCCCCAAACCCTGTTCTAACCATTCAGACTCCCTGTATCATCCTCATTGCTGCATACATGCAAGTAAAAACTGGCGAGTTGGTGGCGGCTCATGTTCATACGTTCGGGGGGTAGGGTTTAGGGCTTAGGGCCACAAGTCGCTTCAGCGCTCCCCTCTATTCTCGCAGCTTGACATAGCTTTTGCCCATGGCTCTACTCACGGCTCATACACAACAAGATCTTCCGCTCTCTCTGCCCTCAACCCTAGACCCACCCCTCTCTAACCCAGACCTCTCTCTCGCCTCAAACCTAAAGCGACACCGTCCAGACCTGGAACCAAAAACCAAGATCCTCAACGCCAACCCTAAACCCTAAACCCTAAACCCTAAACCCTAAACCCTAAACCCTAAACCCTAAACCCTAAACCCATGAACCCTTTACAAAACCCATACAAAACCTTTATACAACCTATGTAGAACCCCTACGGAGCCCTTGTAGAAACCGACTCTCAACCCCAAACCCCGCAACCCTCGGATCGCTTACAACACGGCATCGGGTCTAGGGCTTAATTAGGGTTTTGGAGCTTAGGGTTCAAAAGGGTTTTGGAAAACCTAAACCCTAAACCCTAAACCCCTAAACCCCTAAACCCCTAAACCCTAATTGAAAACCTAGGAGCTAGGGTTTAGAGAACCCACAAAAACCTAAACCCTAATTGAAAACCTAGGAGCTAGGGTTTAGAGTTTTGTAGGGTATAGGGTTTAGGCAGTCGGTGTCTTGCTACCGCGGCGCAAAAAATTGGCCGCGAAGTTGAGAGCCTCGGGAGGCGCTGTCTTATGGGTTTGTTGGGTTTAGGGTTTAGGGTTTAGGGTTTAGGGTTTAGGGTTTAGGGTTTAGGGTTTAGGGTGTTGTAGGTTGTTTTGGCTTTCCGCGGCTTTACAAGGTTTACAGGTTTAAAGAGTATTGCGGAGTTTGAAAGGGGTGTTAAGCGGATTTTGCAGTTTTACCGAGTTTCTATAGGCTCGCTATCGGTTTTGCGGGTTTTGCAAAGGGTGCGATACGTGCTTCAAAGTATCTCAACAAGACGTTTGAGATGGGTCTCTGGAAATGATTCGGATATTTGGCGTTTTGGGCCGGCGGTTGTTGAGATTTAGGGATTGGGTCCAAGCTTAGGGTTGCTGTTCGGATTTGGGGGTCGGGATTAGATTTGAGGCATGGCTAAACTACCTGCCCTCTGCTCAGCACGGCATACTGGGGCGGCCACCCCTGGCTCGCCACGGCTGGTGTGGATCGGCACCAAGTTCACCGAATGATCCTGCAGGGTGGGATAAGGAAGGGTTTTCGAAGTGGGCATCTCCTGTGACCCAGAAACGGACCCTAGCATTGACTGCAATACAGTTATGCAAACTCCAAAAGACCCTCATTTACAGCCCTCCAGCATCTCCGACGAGCGTAAAACAGCTAAAGCTTGCATGCTTTTCTTGTGCCTAAACCCTCGGGTGCATAATCGAATGGCTTTGGCAACCCGAAATAGCCAGTTGCGCTGGGAATGCTTCCATGCCTGACTTTCTCAATTCACGAATGTAGGGACTTCAGGGCCGTTTGGTGAAGAACTAAGCCTCCATGATTCCGACACACACGACCGGAATCCTAAACCCTGAACATCCCAAACCAAACCGTACACCCCTTACGGTGTTTCCCGAACCGACATGTCCTGCTCTTCCAGGCCGTAGACCATCTCCTGCACCAGACTGCTCTAGAACCCTGAGCAATAAGATGCAGGGTTCCTTCAAAAGTTCTTAGTCTTTAGAGGGTTCTACGAGGGTTCGTAGGATCTTCTAAGACCTAGGGGTCTTAACAATAATTAGAATAGTGTCTTCGAGTATGTTATGATATTCCTACACGGAAACCATAAGACGATGTATTGCTAAATATTCCGAATATTCCGGCTTCTACACTCTACACTACAGATGCTTGTTGATGCCTCCTGTGGTCTCCACCCGACTATCAAATTCTGGATTTCAGCGCTCTTGCTTTGGGCTTCAGGACACACGGGCCTCAGAGTCCAGAGGCTTTGGATTCAATATGGGTACCTGGGATTGCTCTAAGACACTGAATGAACGAGGGTTCGGAAGTGGGGGGGGGGGTACATACTCTACTGTAATGTTTCTATGGTGCACCTCAGCAAATACTAATCAACACCGTTTTACCGACCTCTGTGTTACAACCACCCCATGCCTGCCCCACGATTGCCCGATCACAGCTGCCAACTGCCAACCAAAGCGAAGCCCCGCAGCCAGCTCAATCAAGGCTCACACTTCCTTCTTCTAGCATCCAGAAGGCCTTCCGATCTGCACTTGCCGAGGTTCTCGTACTTGCAGACAATAAAGTGACTCTCGTGGCCGCTCGCGCGTGGCTTCTTGTTGATGCTTGGGCTTTCCTCGCGCAGCCTCTGCAGCTGTAGGGAAGTCCGCCGCAGACTCTGCAACGTCCCTGCCGTCGATGTCTAGGGACCTACTGGAGCTTTGTTGAAAGGTCGAGGTCCTGTGTGTCTCGCTGAATCCAAGCACAGGCGTGGGATCTAGACAGGTCAAAGTCAGTCCACTTAGGGATGAAGCGTTTAGGGTGTAACCCAGCTTCCTACTGAAGCTCTACCTTGCCCTAAAAGCCTGAAACCGAAGCCCAAACCCGAAACCCTTTATGACCAGCAAAGATGCGATCAGCCGCCCTAAACCCTAAATCCCTTGAACTTACTAAACTATAGCCCCCAGAACCACCTAAACCCAACCCCTAAACCGAGTGACCGATTTTGGAGCTTGCAGGGGCCATTTTCTAGTCGCTTCAAAACACTAAGTCCGAGCGCACCTCAACTGTTTGAGGTGTAGGATTGCCGGCTTACGGTGCAAGGAGTACCGGGAATTTATGGGTTTAGAGTTTACGGATCTACGATAACTGAACCCTAAACCCTAAGCCGGCTTGGGGTGTTCTGGGGGCTCTCCTTGAGCCCACCCCGCAGGCTCAGCCACTCGGAGTCTTCGGCGTTGATGGGCACCTGCAGCCAGCACCCGAGTTCAGGGCATCTTAAATGGGTTTACGGTTTAGGATTCAGGGTTTAGGGTTTCAGGCAGAAAAGTAGCAGTGTAGTAGTAGTAATAGCAATAGTAGT